CCCCAAAACCCCAAAACCCCATAAGTATAGATTGTTAGTGGCTTGATAAAAGAACGTCATTAAAAAATAAATTATCTAGAGAGATTTTAATATAACAGTATTTTAAAATATATCCAAACACATCGATAATGAATGATTTTGAGGGCACTTAAAGCAAAGAGGGGCTCAGGTAGTAATTATCGAACGAGAGAAACCACTTAAAGATCGATATCAACAATGGAACAAATCAGGGTCAAAAGTTAGACTCTAGAAGCAGCAAAAGAATAGATAGTTAATAAGATCAGGAAGGAGACTAAAATCGTACTTAAAAGCATTAAGGTGATTCTGTCCTTAATTACTAAATTAATGCCGAAGAAGTTACTGATCAACTACCTTCCCCAAATATCCCTAATTTAATAGTTTCAAAGTTTTCAGAGCTGGAAGACTATAACTCTAAATAAAACTAAGCTAAGTTGACGTTTGAAATAGATAAGGATAACCTCAGAAGTTAAACATAAAAGGAAGATAATTTAGGAGTACTAATAGCTGCAAATAAAAATGAATTATAAAATTCAGGACTTCTCCAACCTGATGCATATTCAGAAATATCCCCCAAAAATAAACAATAGAAGCGTAAATGAGGGCAAGGGAAGGCCAATAATGAAAACTAGAGTAAACCTGAATTTACCTTGGAATATAAATCTATCGAAACAATGCAGAGTATTATCCATTAAAAATTATCATCAAATCCTGAGCAAAAAGATGTTTTAATCTAGCTTGAGACGATGTTTAACCTGAATAAGAATGATATATCATTTCTTATTCAACAAAACCAGTAATTACTAAATACCATCGGGGCCGACTCTGAAAAAATAGGGGAGTTTGTTCAATAAATTACCTAAATATTGCCATAAAGATTCATAATATTAGAGCAATATGATGAAGAGGGTAGTTATTAGGACTAAATGGTGAGGATGCAGACCTAGAGTGTCAATAATAATTCTAAAAATGATATAGGGACTAGAGCAATAATTTAATGCGTTGGGTTTATCTTAAACAGCCAAAAATAACACCTAGTTAAACATACTTTTGACACTATACTCAATGCTTTTAAATTTGCTGTTGTTTATGACCCTTATAAATAGTTTGCTTTTTAGGATAAATTATTAGATGCAAGATAAAATGTAACCTAGGCTGAGTTGGATGCACTTGAGGATTATCTATTAGGAGAGGAGACTGACGAAATAACTTTCAATTAGAAAATCAGCAAAATTTAGGAATAAATTTTAACAATCGAATTAAGTTTAAGTTAGGGATCTTCTGAAGATTTGATAAAACAGAGAGTAAAGTAAATCAAGTAAATGATAGGCCAAAGGATAAAGTAGTTTATGGCCTAATCAATTATGAAGAAGGGCTTATTTGGAATAAAAGCTTCTTCAGTAAATTAATCGGCTGCAAGTTCGATAGTAGTAAATACTAGCAAAAATAATGATAGTAAGTTATCAGGAACATTTTCTCCTAATGTAGAGTCAATTTATTAAGATGATGGAGTGATTCTGGCAGAGTCTTTAGAATTAAAAAATATAATAAATAAGCAAAATCACAAATAATCTTAATCCTTAAGGGATAGATCATTGAAACATATTTATGACTACTACAGATCATTAAAAATTCTGGGAAACCATAAAAACATTTCGTTCGATGATATGAGAAGGGAATATGAGATAATGAACCTTAGTCAGTTTATGAAATTCTGTATTGACTTTAAAATACCGATGAGAAAGGATAGAATTCTAGAATGCTTTAAAAAATAGTCTCCTACTCAGAGAGACTTAGACTTTGTTTAGTTTAAGCTCACAGTATTTCTCATTTTTAGCCAGATCAGCTCAATTGAAGAATTGGAGAAAAAAAGGAAATCTTCTAGTCCTCACCTTTAAGTTCGAAAAAATAATTAAAAATTAAATCCGATATAAAATAAAGATCAGATTGACAGATTTAATGAATAATGTGCAAGATTTTTAATGCTTGATTAGCCTGAATAGCTTAAATACAAGTTGTCGAAGCTCTAAAACACTTTGGGGTTAGGAGGTTAAACAATAAAGTCGTCTATAAAATCTGAATTCCTGAATTCACCAGAGCAGAAAATTAGTCTTAATTTGTCGAACATTAGTTCTTCTATATCTGGTCGATAGAAATATCAGTATAGGCAAAACAAATTAATGAATGAAATTACCAAGTTGAAACAAGGAGACGATAGAAGAGATGGAAGGTTTTAAAACACTGAAATTTTGAGGTCCAAAAGATCAATTGGTGGTGATAACTCGAAAAATGGAAGCGTACATACTTTACATTCCTTAAGTTAGATTAGGTACTAAGAGCTCAATACTAATGATGAAGATGACTTTGTTCCCAAGAATTTTGGTTTTGAAGAAAACCCTAAAAGAGAGTAACTTAGCATTACGAGGATTTAAAGCTTTAAGAGACTAAACTCTTCGACATAAGTAACAGATAGACATCGGGAAAAGTTATCAAGTGGATTCACTTTTTATAAGTAAGTCAACGAGGAGCAGCAGCCTAGAGTTTTTAAGTTAAATGATTTGTTGAGGCCTTAATAACAGCAAAATATCTAATACCTGAATTAATCTATTAATGGGCTTTAAGTAAAAGACATGAGGATAAAAAAGTAAAAATATCCCTCCACTAAGAGATATAATTTGGAATCTGTGTACCTTAACAGTAACCCTAAGAACGAGCCTGTAGATCCTTATAGATAGACAAGAACTAATTTAGAAAAGTCCTACAAATCAATAGACAGTGGCTCCCCATAAAGAAAACCCTCTGCAGGTATTAAAAACTTTAGACGAATTAGTCAGTTACGACTGTCTGCGAATATAACGACATAATTAAATGCTATACAAAACAAAGGCCTGAGTAAAAACTTAAGAGCTAGCTTTGACACTTACGTCGGTTCCACGGCAAGTCTCATGAATAGAATGAAAACTCAGAATATTAGCAATATTAAAGATAGTATGATTAACAGAAAGTAGTTGTTATTGAAAATCTAGCCAGAGAGATAGGTATCCTCTACGCTAGGCTAATACTAAATTGGACATCACTGAGCGAAGAGTTCGATTTGGGATGAAGAGGAGATTTGTTTAACTTAAAAATATAAATGAAACCTTACAATAAGTTTAAAAAAATTTCATTTAATATATTCTAGAATTTCAGATTATACTTTTAAATTCAATGATCTTATTAATACCCGATGGCCAATAGTACCTTCTTATGGGGTTTTGGGGTTTTGGGGTTTTGGGG